GACAGGCCTCCCAGCAGAACTGGTTACAGATGGACACACCGTTCTGCATAAAGGCACCTGTATTTATTTATTTGTTCATTTATTTATTTATTTTGTAAGATGGGAGAAGAAAAGGATTTTAAAAACGTGTGGGCATTGTGCTGTGATTAAATGTTTGACTTGGCCTGAAAATCACATTCTTAAAAAATAATTTTTAAATAGAAATATGTTTTCTAACCGCAGAATGTGCCCGGGAGTTAGTCCCCTTCTGAGGTGTATTTCCTTACTGCCTCCCGCATCCTCTTTTCCACGGGACCCCCAGACTCAGGTCCCCTAGAGATGCTGCCATCACTCGGTGAGAGTTGGGGGGGGGGCCCTGCTTGGGGCTCCCCCACCTTCCTCGGGGAGCCAGGACTCTTCAAATGTGTAGCCAGAGCCCCCACTACCCAGAAAAATTCAATAAGTTGTGGTCAATTTGCACAAGCGTTTGACTTTATAATTTTGGGAAAGAGGGAGGAACAAGAACTCAGGGAAGCCCCCCTCACTTTGATTTCTGTTCAGACACACCAGGAAGCATTTGCACATGTGTTTGCTCTGGAAGGTGAGCACAGGCATGCAGGGGGGTGCAGGTGGCGAGTTTCCTTCCTGGAGGGTTAAGCCAGTCACCATCCTGCTCAGATTTTCATTCTGGAGAAAACAGCAGCAGGCACCAAGCGGGTAGAGATGGCGCCTGGAACCAGCCACCAGAAAGCAGACGAAGCCCGAGAGAGATACTGATGGAAGCCCAGCTGCCTCGAGAGAGCAGAGTGTGATCAAGGCCGTGTGTGTGTGTGTGTGTGTGTGTGTGTGTGTGTGTGTGTGAAAAGGGGCCCAGATCTCCAATCGGGTTGTGGTTCTCAACAGAATGAAAGAGGAAGTTCTCTGGCTAGCTGCCCTGCTTTGTGCCAGAGGGGAGGCTGGTGGGCTAGGTTAGGCTTCCTGGAACAGCCCAGGGTCTGCTCTGGGTGCGAGATGCTGGCCCCAGAGGAATCAGATCCTCATAATGACTCAGTTTTGGGTGTGAGGGGAGCTATACACAGGCTCTTGGAAAAGAGACACCAAGAAGGACTCTATGGTCATAGTGGCCCCTTCCTAGACTTTTCCATCGCAGGAGGCTCATAATTCCCTGGAAACACATTTACCTCCTCGGTCTGGGCTATTTCTTGTCCAGAGAGAATTCAACATTTCCATTTTAATAAAATTTTACTTTTCAGTGAGTCCATCTGCAGAAAGTATGGAACCCCTGAGGCCCAGTGCTTATGTTCTCGGGTCTCTGCACCTTCCTACATGCCCCACCTCTCGGGGGCCGAGTCCTGCTGAGGACAGCAGCACAGAGAACTGTAACGTTGGAGTCTGGTCTCGTCAAGATGGTTCCTGGGAGCTAGAGGTAGGAGAAAGGAAGATCAGAAGTTTTTGCAGAAACGCTTCAAGCCTACAGAAGTAAAATATTCATGCAGTCAACAAGTATTTACTGAGAACCTACCACCTGCCAAAAAGTGGGGTTAAGAGGCCACAAGTAAAAGCAATAATGCATGCTGTGCTCAGGTGCCATGAGAGAAACAGGAGTGAGGTGACCGCCCAGGGGCAGGGTGGGGGAGAAACCCACGTCAGAAGGGGGGTGGTGAAGACGGCCTCTCTGTGGAGACCGGGGCGAGCTTGAAGGAGCACCCATCCCAATGGGAGGGACCAGCACAGGTGAGGGCTCTGAGCTGGCGATGGTGTGTTTTTAAGGAAACCGCCCCCAAAGGAGGTGTTTGTGGGACCGCCCATCCGTGAAGCCAGAGCCAGTGGGTGAGGTGGGGAGTGGCAGGAGAGAGGTAGAGAGCTAGAATTTACTCCAAGTGCAAAGGAAAATGCTGAGGGCTTCTAAGCAGGGGAAGGCCTTACCTTTTCAGGACATCACTCTGGGGAAATACCACTGCGGCCGCACCGTGGAAACTGGATTGTGGAAGCAGCAGGAAGACCAGTGAGGAGGCTGTTGGAACTGCTGCTGGGAAAGAAGGTGACCTAGATGAGGGGGACTAGTCCTCGGGATAATTTTGCAATTATCCTGGAGAATCCACAGAACTTTGAGGGAGAAATGGAAGGTACGTATTGATTCGGTTTCTCGGTAGTGCCTTAAAACTGAAATGAGGTCGACAGGGTAGAAATGGGGCCGGGGCGCTGAAGATCACATGTCTGTTAAGAGAAATAAAAGGTGTCCCACGTCCTTTGACCTTGAATCTATAGAGAGTGCTCTGACTGGAGACCTAATTGTGGATGTTGCCAGGCTGGTGTGGTTCAGTGGTTGAGCATTGACCCAAGAAACAGGAGGTCACGATGTGATTCTGGGTCAGGGCGTATGCCCGGGGTTTTGGGCTCAGTCCCCAGAAGGGGGCATGTAGGAGGCAGCTGATCCATGATTCTCTCTCACCATTGATGTTTCTCTCTCTCCCTCTCCCTTCCTCTCTGAAATCAATAAAAAAATAAAAATTTAAAAAATGGTGGATGTTATCTGTATAGAGGTGGAATTTGAAGTCGTACTGAGTGAGATGAGAGAGGAACCCCAGGAAAGGGGAGAGAGAAGGGAGAAGGAAGCAGGAAGCCAGGGAACAAAGACGAAGAAGGCACTGCTTCATAATGTAGCTGTAACTGCACTTGCACTCTGAGGGTCGACTGTAGGCCAACACTTGGTTATAACAAAGTAAACTGATTTGTACATCACCTAACAGTTTTTAAAGCATTGCGCTTATTGGACAAGTTATGGTCTTGCCACAGAGTGAAGCTCTGCAGGAAGAGCTGTTTCTGAGAGAACTGTTTGTTGAGCCTCCATCTCCTCATCTGTAAACCGAGGAGCCCCCTGCCGGCCCCCTTTCCTGCGCAGGGCGTGTGTGGGGCACGCGGGAGGCTGTGGCGAAAGCTCTGGAACATTGCCGTGAGTCCGTTTCTGAAACAGAATGCTGGTGAGGAGGTCCAAAGGCTTCCCACAGGGGCAGGCACCACCGGACTCATTAATTAAAAAGCAAAGGTTGGGAACCAGCAACCACTTGTTAAAACTCTTAGAAGGGAAGAACATCACTGGGTTTAAAAGCTGTGGCCTGTTCATGAATCTCAACTTGATTATGGACGTTTCAGTCCTGATAAACCTGAGTTCCCATGAACCAGGCTCCCTGGGGCCACCCTGAGGTCTGAATTGATTCTTCTAGTGAGAGCGGGCTAGTGAGGCGCGTGCAGGGGGTCCTGGGACCACCTCGGATCAGCAGTTCACCTACGCCAAGCCCAGCCCGTCTGTTTGTCCATGAGCCCAGGGGCTTAGGCGGCAGGGGGCTCCCGCCCTTGGCTATGCTGCAGTTCCTAGGGGGCCTGTGATGCACAAGGAGCCCCAGGCCTGCTCTTAGATTCTGGTCGGGCAGGTCTGGGACTTGTGGACAAGCTCCCTGGTGGACTGTGAGGCAGGCACACAGTGTGTGTGTGTGTGTGTGTGGGTGTGTGAGTGAGATGGAACCTGAGTATCCATAGACCGTAGGGTGTGATTAACAAGGCAGCGCCAAAGGGAACACGGCAAATCTCAGTCCCCAAAGCATCGTAGCACAAGAGGACGGACACCCAGTGAGTGACGGTTTGAAGGTGAGGCCCGTGGAAAGTTCTGTGTGGCTTCGATCAGGTTGTTAGCAGCCCCCCGCCCCACTCCTAGGCTCAGGCAGGCTCTGGCGGACCCTTGAGCTGCTCCTGAAATGACGCAGCAGCTGAGTCAAACAAGCAGCACGCAGTCACCACGCGCCCTCTCCCCCAACTCTGCAGGGGGACTCCTTCCCACCAACCAGCTCAGCCTCTGGAAAGTTCTCTTCTCCTTTGTGATGGCAACCCCTGCAGAGTGGCTTTGGAAACCCTCGCTCAGCTACTAGACTTTCCCCCACTGACTGTGCCGGTGTGGGCGGAAGGGACCAAAACTTAAACTCCTGACACTCAGCGCGGAGGCTCTGTAACCATGAGCGAGAAAAACCCACGGGTGAGAGTCCACGCAAACCCCGCCGGGCGCCTCCCTCTGGGGGGCCGATCCTCCATCCTCTGGAGGGGTGTGTGCGCCATCCTGCCTTTTCCGAGTTTTGTTCTGCTCTGACTTGAAAGTTTGTGTCTGACTTGCACAGTGCCAGGTTTTGTGTGGGCTGGGAAAGCAGCGTCTGCCCCCGGAGGCCTCACGGGGGCGGTGAGCACCCGTTCACACACTGGGAGAGCTTCCTGGGCCGGTTCCACACGGGCGCCGCGTCACCGTACTTTTCCAGGCTTGTTTACTGAATACTGTTTCAAAAGACAGAACTTCCTCTGAATTCCATAAAATAATATTTGAAAACACTGATTTTTTTTTTTTTTTGGTCTGAATCTCAGATATTAAAACATCCACTCACTCATTCACCACAGAGCAAAACTTTCACTTTTTTTTTTTTTTTTTTTTTTTTTAAGAAAATGGTTCTTCAAACATTCATTCCCAAACTGGGTGCGCTTTGTGTGTGTGTGTGTGTTTTTGTTTGTTTGTTTTTTGTATTATTCTTTAGAGAAAGAAGTTGGCCACCACTGTACCCCTGAGGGGAGTCTCACAGACGGAACCACTGAGGCAACTGGTTACTTGTGCAGGATCCCTTTGGCAAATGAAGATCAAAGTCAAAAAGAAAAAAACAAATTCACTTTATTTTAAAGACAATGATTGGCATACAGAAGGTATGCACTAGCATAAAATAAACTTTCATGTAAAGCATTAAAATCCATTATAAATTAACTTATTAAATAGGTATTTGGTATATGTGATGGTTTTTATTAGATATTACTCTTATTTATTGCCAACCCCCTCCCCCAAAGTCAAAACAAATCAGAAAAAAAATCTCTTAGCTCCGATGTACACTAAATAATTTATCTTCCCAAAATGTGTATGTGTTCTGAGATGTGACACATGATACAGTTCCGTTGGTCATTCTCCATCAATCATAATATGACAGGACACAAGAGGCTAAAAATGGCTCATCATAATTTATTTTATGTTAAAATGTACAGCTTTTTTTTATTTTTCGTGGGTTTTTTGTTTTTGTTTGAAGTGACTGACTAAAAAGAGAACAGATAAATCCAAGAGTGTTGCTGCTGCTATTTTATACAAGGGGTTGCGCCTCTCCTGCTTGGCCCTTACAGTCACCTGTACAGGTACAAAGACTACAAAAAAAGGAAGCGATATAAACAGACACAAATAACTTTTTTGCTTTTTTTTTTTTACATGCGGTTTGTAAGCTTAGTTCGAGCTATTCACAGGCTACTTCTCTATTTTTCCTTAAAAAATAACTCCAATATTTTATAAAGATAGAAAAATCTACAGATGGAATGAAAATGTAAAGTTAGAGGCATTTCCATAAAATAGCAACTTTACACCAAATTCACTATTTTTTTTTTTTTAAATCCTGCCAAGTATTTGGACATATATGAAATGTTTCAAAACCTGACAGATAAACACTGAGATATGCTTCATTCAATAAACAGAAGTCTGCATTTTATAAAACAGAAAGCTGCCTTCTTCCCCCCCTCCCCCCCCAAAGAAATCTGTCACCAAAATGGAAAAGGGTCTCAACTTTACACCAAACATTTAGCAATAAACCCCTTTTGGACTAACCAAATGGTAATAGCTTTTATAGCTCTTTACAGTTTTATAATTAACAAAAATATAGTTTTTGTTTGTTTGTTTGTTTTTAAAACCCTCAAATTAGGGCACCCTAATCAAGGCAAAAAACTTAAGAAATGGCTTACCGTTAGCACAACACTTGTACAGTACTACAAAATGCACTGTCACTGACAAGGACCGTAGCGGCATGCGGAAGTGTCACCTTGAACAAAATATACAAGAACGGAAATGCTAAAGGCATTTACACGGAGTGGACAGGGGAGGAGAGGGAGCGCGGGATCCGCGGTAAAACATACGTCGGGAGTGCGGGGCTCGATATCCACACGGTTTGACGGAGGCAGGCACGGCCCGTGGCTGCCTCCGGCGCAGTCCAGAGAGAGGCCTTCCTCTGCAGAGAACTTCGTATAAAAGGAACGGAAACAGGTACCGAAAAAGAAAAAGGAAAAAAAAAAAGAAAAAAAAAAAGAAAAACAACTTGTATAAGGCTTTCTGCTGCATACAGCTTTTTTTTTTTTTTTTTTTTTTTAAATACATGGTGCCAACAAATATTTTTGCATTCACACCAATGTTGCTGGTTTTGAAATCGTACTCTTCGAAGGTATTTGTGCAGATCCGTCCGATCGTGACGCCCGGGGGGCGCGGGTGTCTGTGGCTGCCCGTGTCGCCTACCTTCTCATGTAGGACCCATTGAGAGACTGCTTGGACATGCCCGTGTTCATGTAGCCGTGGTGCCCGGGCGCCGTGTACATCATGTTGCCGTGGGGCGGGGTCTGCATGGGCTGCTGGGCGTATGGCTGGGTCCCCATCATGCCCATCTGCATCTGCATCGGGTACTGGGGCGTCTGGTTCATGTAGCCGTGGTTGCCGTGGTAGCCGCTGTTCATCATCGGCTGGGACATGCTGTACCCGTTCATGGCGTTGAGCGTGTTCATGTTCATGTTCACGGAGTTGACGTTGTAGGCGGGGGCCGGCATCAGGTTCACGCTCATGTTCATGCCGCGCTGCATGGCCAGGGTCCGCGCGGGGCCCTGCATGGCCACGCTCTGCGAGCGCCCGTAGATCTGCGGCTGGTGGGTGGCCGCGGCGGCGGCCGCAGCGGCCGGGGACAGGGACGCCGATTTGGTTCTCATGGAGACGTGGCCCTTGCTGGCGATCTGGGTCTGCAGTCTTTGGCTGTGGGAGATGCCGATGTTGGACGCAGCAGCCATGTTCCGCTGCAGCAGGGGCGGCGGCAGGTTCATCGGAGGAGGGGTCAGGTTGGGGGGCGGGGTCATGGTGGCTTGTGCTTGGGGTCCCCCGGCGACGGAGTGCGGAGACTGGGAGAGCTGGACGAGCCCTGTGTTGCTGAGCGGAGCGGACAGAGAGGCACTGTTTGCATAGGAAGTCACAGCAGCGGAGTGGCTGTAAGGCAATGAATGGTCGATGAGGGTGTTGGTTAACTGCTGCAGTTTGGCGAGGCTGAAGGTGGCGGACGGCTGCGGGTAGTGCCCGGCCCCGAAATCGCTCTGGCCCATCCGCTCGTACAGGCCGAGGTTGGCGTTGCCGGCCTCGGGGATGTCGGCCAGCTGCATGGGCGGGCTGAAGTTGGCGGCCATGCTGCACGGGGCCAGCTGCTGGCTGCCGCTAGGGGGCCGCTCCACCACGCAGCCCTGCGGGGACTTGACGCTGCAGGTGGGGGGCGAGCTGATGCCGGGCTGCTGCTGCAGCAGGCTGCAGCTCCCGCTCATGCTGGACATCTGCTGGGTGACGGCGCAGCTGCTCTGCGTCAGGTTGCTGGAGGTCAGGCTGCTGTAGGAGCAGCTGTTCTGCGAGGAGCCGTTGCCGCAGATGCTGCCGCCCATGGTGGAGTCGTAGCTGCTCGGGTTCTCGTAGTTCTCCGTGGTGCTCTCGATGCTGCCCAGGTCGCTGAACCCACTGTCCACGACCTGCTGCGAGTGGTCGGACACCGACGGCACGTCCATCATGGGGCTGGTTTCCATGTTCTGCAGCGATGGCACTGAGATGGCGCTCTGGTCCGGGCTGATTTGGGCGTAGCTGTTCTCCAGGGCGGGGACGCTGGGGCTGCTGACGGAACGCACCGACTGGCCGGGGTGGGAATGGACGGAGGAGACGGGGCTGCTGTGGTCTGACTGCTGGCAGTCGTCCAGCGCGGCAGCGATCTGCGGGCTTTGGTCTGGGCGGGCGTAGTTCTGCAGGCTCCGGCAGGCCTCCTGGGTCTCGGCACAGTCCTGGAAGGTGTCCTCCTGCTCGCCGTTCTCCTGGGTCAGAGACTGCACGGCCTGCACGGTCTCCGAGTCGATTTCCATGGCTGCCGCGCTGGCCTCTTTGAACTCGGGATCGGCGTCGTCGTCGCTGTGCTTTTGGTCCTGTTTCTGTGGCTGCTCGTCGGGGGGCTCCTCGTCAGACTCGGGCGCCGTTTCGGGGTCCGCGGCCAGCTCCTTGGGCTCGCTGTGGCACGCAGTGGCGAGGTCCACGTCACAGTCCATTAGGGCCTCCGGGTTTGCGTGGCCGGCCTGGACACTCAGGTCTAAAAAAGCCTCCTGGCTTTCCAGCACTTCTTTGAAAGCTTCCCTGGGGCGCTCCTCCTTCTCAGCCTCCGTAGACTCCATGTGGCTGTCGTCCTCATCGTCAGCATCGTGACCCTCGTTGTGAGACGGCTCCTCCTCTTCCTCCTCCTCCTCAGGATCATCCAGACGCTCAGGGTCCTCTTTGTCCGGGCAGGCTTCTGGTTCCTCTTTTTCCTGACTTCTGGTACCACTTGGGTCTTTTTCTACATTTCCTTCTTCTTCTTCCTCCTCCTCCTCCTCCTCTTCCTCTTCCTCCTCCTCCTCCTCCTCCTCCGGTTTGATTGGATCGTCCTCCAGTGCTTCGCCTGGTGACTTATTGGGACTCACAGGGGCACACGTGTCCTCCTTTCTGTCTTCATCCCGGGGCAGCGGGGGTTCCACAGCCTCCTTGACGTCCTCCTCGATCCTGGTGGGGCTGGGGCTGCTCTTGTCCTCCAGCGCCTCCTTCTGCTCCTCCACCGTCACCTGGTCGTCCGGCTCCATGGGCGTCTCCGGAGGGGTGTACAAGTTCAGCTTGAATCCGGTCTTCCTTTCTTTGCTTGGCCGCCACTTAGAGAGGCCGCGCTTCGATCCTTTTGGCCACACTTGTTTGCACTTTAGAGGTTCAGGATTGTCTCTACTGCCTTCTTTCAAGTTATTTGCATCATCCATTTTGTCTTATCGAGGAGACAAAGGGGAGGAAGAAAAACAAAGTCTTAGAAAGCGTAACCACAAGCAACTTGAATTCATTCCTCTAAATTAAATAGCAAGCACTGCTTTCAATTTAGCATTTTAAGACTTAACGGTAAAGACGTAATCAAGACTAATATAGAATAATACTGTGGCATAAACTGAGTAAATCACCCAGGTCTGGGAAAATTATATATGCCAAACACGGACACGTACATTCCCTCTCTCAACAAAGCTGTGCTTTTTATAGGAAGCACATGGATAAAGGCAACAATAATAAACTTATTTGAGTTAACGAACAAGATATTCTCTGATGCCCGGAATTGCACAATGTACAAAATTCACTGCGACATTTACAAACTAGGAAATACAGGGGAAGGGGTTAATGCCAGCCCATGTCCACATCCTCGCTGCACTAAAGCAATGAGAGAGAAGCCTCCCTCCTCACATATCTGCCCTCAGAAAGTGAACTTTGGTTTGTGGACAATTAGTGAATTTAAATGCTCTCAGATGACATTATTTACTTTGACTTAAATGTTCTCTCTGACATAAAAATAAACTGTGTACCTCTGAAACAAATGAATAAATAACTAAACACATCTGTAATCTACTATAGGATCATCATTTTTGCATGACATAAACTATAATGCATTTAGCATAAAATTATTGAGCAGTTAAAGCACAGGTATTCCTTTTATCACTAATTCTGTCCAGACTGTATTTTGGATCAATCTGCTGCTCAAATGTGTGGTTTGAATACTAAAGTAAATAAAAAACAAACCATAATTGTCAAGTTCATTTTAGTTCAGCTGATTTTATTTTTACTGTACCTGCATGCACATGGATATAAATATGTAAGTATAGTTTTATAGATATAAGCAAACAAGAAAATATAGCAAACGAATAAATATAGATATAAAACACCCAAGTCTTAGGAAATTACAGATCATGCTGATCTTCTGGTCGATGAAAAGAAAAAACTTTACAAAGAGAAATTGCGTCATTAGGAGAACAAACTTGGGAGAACTTATCTTAGGGAACAAAAATAAGATCCAATAACCAACGTGGAACGGAGATCCCTTTTGCCCGAAGGGAGTGACTTCTAATCCAATCAGTGCAGAGCAGGGTGAACTTTCAGATCATTTATATATCGTATTTTCCGACGTATAAGATGACCCCCTAATTTTACAGTTAAAACATAGGTTTGAGCCTATATTCGCTGTATAAGACTACCCCCCACTTCAAAGAAAAGACTTACTTTGCAGTCAAAATCTGCAGGTAATTTTTGTGCAATTTTGGTCTTTTGCCCCCAATTTTCGGTTGACTTTTTTTCGTTTCAAAAGTCGTCTTATACGCCGGAAAATACGGTAATAAAAAAGTTACACATAAACTTACCTGCAAGCACTACATTCAAATTGGCTAGCCGAAGAGAACACATATGTGATGTGGACAGATCCTTCGGAAGCTCAAAGTACAATACCTAGTTAACGGACGTCTCAAGATGTTCAAATGGTTCCACTTCTATCCACACGGGCAGCTGAGCGCTACGCCAGAGCCCCGGTTTCTACGTTCTTATCCCACGTGATACCGGACCTACCGGCTTTTATGGGAAGACCTCTCTACATCAGAAGATGAGTTTTCTCCTAATTATTTTCTAGGAAAGAAGCTTCTGAAGGCAAGTGACAAGGCCACTTAACATGTCTAAGGCAAACCGCACCAAGTGGGGAATGAAGTCAGTGTCCATTCATCTACCAGCTCTTTTTTTTTTTTTTAATATATTTTATTGATTTTTGTACAGAGAGGAAGGGAGAGAGATAGAGAGTTAGAAACATCGATGAGAGAGAGTCATCGATCAGCTGCCTCTTGCACACCCTCCACTGGGGACATGCCCGCAACCAAGGCACATGCCCTTGACTGGAATCGAACCCGGGACCTTTCAGTCCCCAAGCCGGGGCTCTATCCATTGAGCCAAACCGGTTTCGGCCATCTACCAGCTCTTCAGAAGACAAATGACAACTGGCAATAGGCTCAACTTCCACACAAAAATGATCAGTGGTTGCAGCGTGCTTCTGCCTCTGCTGCTGTTTACATGCTTGTTAGTTTAAAAAACGAAAGAGCAAGGCTTGGTTTCTCTATACCCAGAGTACGATGCCATTCTCTCAGCAAAATACTGTATCCCGTTAGTTAAGAAAGTCAAGACGATGCTTGGTCATATTTTCAAAAGCTAGAGTGACAGCCTGTGGTGCCAGGGCCATGAGATGCCTGTTCGCTGGATGGGAGTGAGCTTTTGAAAATAGACATTTCAGCAGTAGAGAGGCAGCTTGTCCCTCATTGCCCAGCTGGGACCCACAGGCGGGGAGTGGTTGCTTTTAAACAGGACATTGCTTTCAGGGTGCCTTTTTTTTTTTTTTTTAAGAGGATGGGGCAGAATGGCCCTGGCAGCAGCAATTGTAAAACAGTAATTTAAAAGGAAAGACAGTTTCCTGATTTCAACATTATCCTGTCTTATCAAAGCTACTAGTGATGGTGTAAGTTTAGCTGATTCTTGATAATATAAGACACCACTGATTATAAAATGCATTATCAATCTAATATTTTTTCCAGGAAAAAAGAAAGCTACTGAGTTCAGCGCTCACACTGATAATAATATATGTACTGATTTCAGAAGTATTAAATGTGGGGGAAAGCACATATTAGAATCAGGAAATGCAGTGTTTCTTACTGACATACTTCAAAGTTTTTGGGGACAAGTCAATTTCCGGAACGTAAGAGGAACCTGTCTACAGGAATGCTGGGCCTTAGAAGTTGTTTAACATAAAACCCAATTCCAGGAGGAAGAGCCGGAACCTTTCATGAAGGAGAACGGACAGGTGAGCAGGTACTTCCAGGGGGTCCAAACGCCCTCAGGGATGCCTTGGGGCAGGACCCCAGGCGCCTGCTGTTTGGCAGGAATGGACAGAGGGTGGCAAGGGCAAGCTTTTTATAATCCCTCCACTTACTTCTGAAAGGGTCAGCACTCTTAAAGCAATGATTGTCTCTTCCGCCCCCTTCCTCTGCCTGCCTCTTCTTGCCAGGCGGATGCTGGAAGGCCTTCCTCAGGCCCGGCCTCCCGCCGTCCTCCTCCGCGTCCACCTCGCAGGTAGGCTCCAGCTGCGGCATCGGCCTCTCCTCGTCCGAGTTGTCAAAGGGCTCATTCAGCACTTCCGTCGTCTCGGAAATGGTCTCAGTTGTTACACTGCTGTTGATCCTCCTGCGTTTACGACCCCTTTTCTTCTTTAGCACAAAAGGCCTCTGAAATGAATTCCAAACAGAATACACAGAGCTCATGAGAAATTAAACGGTGGAGTCGATAGGCAGCAAACACGCGAGTCTGAGACTCGCACACATAAAGGCTTCTGTGCTGCCTTTGTAGTTAACCTTCCATTTGATGTTTAACATCCCTCTCGGGCTCTCGACTACACAGGCAAGTGTTTTCCAAATAAAACAGTTGTTTACTCAAGCAGATGCTTTGAGGAGAGAACATCCTAGAAGCTTAACTGTAGATTTTAAAAGCTCCAGTTTGCTTTTCTAGCGTATATCTTCCAACGGTGCCTGCTGGCTGCACCATCCTGTACATCACAGCTCTGAAGGCGTCACAGACACCGATTTTCTATAAACGTCGCAATAATGAACTAGTCACGGGGTCACTCAGTGAATACTTGACAACTGCTCAGGGACCAACTACGCTCGAAGCACCTTAGGAAATACGATTGCTCACAGACTAGCCTTTGTCCCCATTTTATAACTTCAGGAACAACGAAAAGGGTGCTTAAAGAGAGGACTATACTGGTGATAGAGTCATTTATTGGTGGCTGCAGGGATGTCAGTGACTGATAACTTTATAAAATATTTTAATACAGAAAAATGTAAAAAAGAGACATGAGAACTGCCTTATTTATGTAAGACACAAACTTTTTTTTCTAACTGCACTACAGATCAGCACAGATGACTCCCTGTAACTGCAATCATGAAACATATTTTCGCAAGTAAAAAGAATTTAATGATACAAAACTTCAAACTAGGAATAACAAAAAAATTGGCTGCTAAAATGTAAATCTGTCAATAATGGGTCCAAAAAAATTACTGAAAGTACATTGCATGGTTCAATATGCATGGTTAGAATTCAAACTCTAGGTAACCAGTACCCAAGAATGATTGTGTCTTACATTTTTAACTCTTTGAAAGTTCACCAAAGTGCACATATAAGCCTGATAATCAAATCCTGTAATTTAACATTTATGGTTATTCATTTCCCAAGTGACCAACCCTCCCTAATCCACTACAATAGAATGTTCCATCATGAGGAGAGCCAGTAGAAAGAGCTGGCTTTCTCTGTTTGAGTCATCTTATATAATGGCAGTCCATATTGTGCCCTGAATGATTCTGGATTTTGCCGTTTTTTAAGAACAATCCTCTTTGTTTATATACATAACACACGAGGACATTTTCATTATAAGAAACCAACACACTGTGTAAGTCTGAAGTCCACTTTAAGGGATGCTTTCTCCACCACCTCCCCACGCTGCCCTTCCATGGGATGATGGCCGGTTTTGAGCTGGGAGTTACAACAGCGGGTTCTCTGACAAACAGGTTGGCCTTGGGGTGGCGTCTTAACTTGTACTGTGTTATCTCTATTGGTCTTGGCCACACTAACATTATCTGGCCCCCCTCTATGTCACAGATGGAGATTGAAGACAAAGATATCAGATCCGGGTTGAGTCTAAGGACAAAAATCGGTTTTTGACCTTCTGCCCAGGTGCATGTAGAGAAAAACCACCAGGCCACTGAGATATGAGAAGTTTCAGTAATGTGTACTTGGCCATGAATGCAAAATACCGGCGTCCAAATGAATGGCCTAAAGCAGCTTCTAAAAAGTCTGTGCCAAGAACTAGAACAAGAAATGGCACCGGGAGCGCTGGGCTGGAGTCGAGCACTCACCTGGTTCTGGCTCCATCTCTGATGCACTGTGTGACCGTGGATACATCTCCTGGCCTCCCCAAGCCTTGGCATTTTTATCAACATTTGCCGAAGGTCCTTTTCTGTTCCCTCAGCCTCACTCACTCTAGCCCCACACACCAGCAGGTGGCAGTCACCACCAGACTAGGAAGCTGGGCTGCTCCTGGCTTCCCGTCCCAGCACTAACAAACCCCAAAAAGTAAACACAATCATGACCGTAAGATGATACATGATCAGTGGGGCTGGATACAAACACACTACATCTGAAGAATGGAGAATGAAACAAATGCTAATAGAATGTTTGCGATGCCCGATTTGACTGACGCTGACTCACAGACTGAAAAATCTAAACAGACACATACATACCTTTCTCTTTATGGCAACTGACTGTGGCTTAGTTAATCTTGGAGGAGAGCTTTGAATATTTTCTTCTTCCTCTTCTTCTTCCTCCTCCTCCTCCTCCTCCTCTTCCTCCTCTTCCTCCTCCTCTTCCTCTTCCTCCTCCTCTTCTTCACTGCTCTCTCTGGACAGCTCCAGCAGCTGCCCTCGGTCCCCTGCCACTGGCCGGCTCTCCGGGGAATGCAAATATTTATTTTTCGATTGTACTTTTGCAGGTGATTGCCTACTGCTAGTTCTAGACGACAGGATCTCTTGCTCCTCCTTTTCCCAGCAGGTAGCTTGTTCCATCAACCGCTCAGCCTGAGGGGGGAGGGGGGAAGTGGCAGGCCGGTGAGAGGGAGTTAGGCAGGCAGAGCCTCTCAGGATCAAAGGCGAAGGAAGCTAAGTCATTTCTGCCCAGGACAGTCAGCCAGCCAAGCAGCATTCCAGCTGCATCATCTCAGGACTCTGACATCCGTTAGGATAGCAAATCAAAGGAGATTGGGTTTCATGGGATATTTAGCAGTATTAATGATGCAGCGAATTGATTTGAGTCCTTTATCAGTACATTACATGCTCACTGGCACGGAGCACTTAAAGCAAGTTCATAAACACAAAGAATCGATTGACACTGCAGCCTTGGAGCTCAGCACCAAATTTGATCTGATTACATGCTGTCAGTAGTGAAAAATGCTGCTTTGTGATCAATGATAAATGTTTCATTTTTCATACTCAATCCAATAAAATTATCATGTCTTACCACGCAACCTCCGTTAGATAAATTAGTGCCATATCATTTCACAAGCTCTCTCTACATAACCAAGCTTTTGACAATGATGTTAATGACTTTCTTAGTTTAAGAATGCTCCAAGATTGAAATTGCACAACTCAGGTTGACGAAGCCAGTCATTACCTCTTTCTCAGCTTCTCGCTCTTCTTCAGAGACCGCGGCGTTAGAGACTGAAATTGGGGTCCACCTCAGGCTCTCTGGATCAAGCTCGTTGGACCGGGAACAGGTTTTCAGCTTTTCCATGTGGCCCAGTATCAGCTTTTCTCTTCTAATGATAACAAATCTGTAATGTGATGAGGCAGAACAAAGTGCAATCAAAAGCTGAAGTTTCATTTCACCTTCGTGTAATGACATATGCTAGCACTAATATTACCGGGGTGAGGAAAAATCAGAAAGCACATCAAGGCAAAGGTACGCCAGACTGAAATTGGACCAGCAAAAAAGGTATCATTTCCGGTTTTCTTTGTAAAAGAAAGGTTTTAATAATACTGTTGGGGAGCCAAAACCGGTTTGGCTGAGTGGATAAAGCGTCGGCCTGCGGACTGAAAGGTCCCGGGTTCGATTCCGGTCAAGGGCATGTACCTTGGTTGCGGGCACATCCCAGTAGGGGTTGTGCAAGAGGCAGCTGATCGATGATTCTCTCTCATTGATGTTTCTATCTCTCTATCCTCTCTGTGAAAAATCAATAAAATATATATATATAAAGAAAAAGGTTAAAAAAATAATAATACTTTTGGGGAACCTTTAACAGGAATGAACCTGCCTGACTCCAGGGGTCCCTCCCGGTGTAAGATGCTTGAGGGGCCGCTGGGGGCCGCCGAAGGCGCCAGGACTCACCTGCCATCCCTCTTGTCGATCATGCGGAGGTGCTGCAGAGTGGTGGCAATGTCGTGCGGGCACATGCCCGTGGCTCTGCTGATCGCCTTGATGCTGATGTGCCTCTCGTGGTGGCGGAAGAGGTACTCCAAGATGACGCTCTTCCAGTAGGCCAGGTAGGAGAGCCGGCCCAGGTCAGAGAGCGGCTTCTCCGGAGACCCTGCTTGGCCTTCTCTTCTAGAAAGCAAATAGCCTGGGGCAGAAAAAGGCAAAGTCAACCTCACGGTGGTGTTTTCAGACACTGAAACAGGGGCCACTGGAAATAACATGAGTAACAGTGAGGTACAAACATGAGAAGTGCGCGAATACACATAGTCTATTTCCGGTGTCAGTCTTTGGTCTCCCTGAAGTTATGCTTCTGGATCTGTTACACTGACACTGTACGTCAACGCCTCCAGCAAGCCGGAGCATTCCACACACACACACTTAACAACACCGAGGCTGAAGTCATGGCTCCTGCGAAGTCTCAGCAGTCCACTCTCACACCAGCTTTAGAGTCTTTTGGAAAGTAAATGTCAGGCACTTACTCAGAAATCCCATCGAGGGACGGCCCCAAACATTAAGGGGAAGTTGTTTTCCGCAGGAAGGACCTAATGACCCTTTGACAGCTGCGTCTTAATAAAAGAGCAGGGCCTCCCTGGACCCGGGTTCTATATTGCCTGTTATGTTTAACTAGCCGGCTGATCTGAGGCTTTGTTTTAAGACTAATGAAAGAATGTCTTTTAAGTCAACTGCTACAACTCGCATGAGCCTTGCTCGCTCCGATTTCACCTCTTTCATGCAAATTAATTTATAATCCAAATCCAGAACGTTATTCCTTTGAATTAAAACAAAACAACTCTCTTAAAGCAGACCGCTTCATGTACACTCAGAAAGTCCCCGAGCGGGGTGAGCTTTTGAGTGTGCATTTCACAGCATTACTGCGAAGGTTCACTGGCAAAGGAACTTTCAAATGAGAAAAACTTTAAATCCACTTGAAGGTAATGAATGAAAGCTGGCGGCTGTCTCGGTAATTAAGAGCCACTTATGGAGGAGAGAGAAAATGCTAAAACCTAACAGTGTCTACCTTGCTCTAATTATCTGTTTCAACAGCCTCACCTTCACGAACTCGCTCCATTTAAACAAACATCAGCCACATACAGTAGGTGGCAGCAATTACAAAATCATGCCTGTCCGTAAGCCACCCAAAATCTTCAGCATTTCTCTTCTTCATCTACATTTCCAAAATGGCTGCGTTCTCAAGCATTTTCTCGATTTGGGAATTTGTTTTTGTTTTTTGTTTTTGTTTTTTTTGTTACAATGAGATCAGCTTCTGGTGCATTTTTTCCTGACTCTAAAAAATCACGGTAAGTAATGCCGAAATTACAGAACAAGAAATCCCATCTGAGCCTGGAGGGGTGTAACATGCATATAGCATTTTGCATTTTGATGGTTTTTGTCTGAATGCCGTTATAAAGAACAGGCATATATTTAACTTTAGGTTTGGCTCCAGTATTTTGACTTATTTGTCTCTTTAACACATGTTTAAGTGCAAAGAATTTGATTGCATGCAAACAAGCGCCGCACAATTTCACAGTCAGACCACCGATCACACATCCTGCGGGCTGCACACGGGCTCGGGGAGCGGCGGCGGGAATGCTAACAGAGCGGCCACTGTGCGGGGCTGGCCCGCCCCCGCCGTCCGTGCCCTGTCAGTATGGAGAAAAGCTCTCTGCTGCCAGAGTACAAAGGGGGCCCAAATCACAGCACACAGATAATTGGCACATCCGTCACCTGCCTCCTAAGTGCTCGGAACACGCTGGGAAATTTACTCAGTCAGCTGGAGGTACTCTGTACCCCTGGAGGGAGAGAACCACAGAGCCATGGATATGGAACTATCCCCCCTTTGTCCATGAGATCCCACAATTAAAAGTCCCCTGCAGTGACTGCCAAATTCCCTAGCCCCTCACTGATTCTAAGCTGAACCCCGGAGTTGGGGAGAGAAAGCACCACCCCTCCCCGGCCCTGCTCCCCCACCCCGAAGCCAGCAGAAAGATTTCTGTGTAACGCAAATGGTCACAAGGTGGTATATTCCACACAAGGAGCAACAGTACCCCGGAAGTACATGTGTTTCTTTGTTCTGTCTTCTCTTCCCACAAGCTATACTCTGGGACAAGAGGAAGCAGCCAGAACCCCCCCGAAGTAGATTTCACTCAGCTGCTCATGCTGCTACACCCTGAGCGGTACAGTGCACAGTGCAGGGCCGGGGCTGACATTGGCCTGAGGAGAGCCTTCAGGCACACACCTGCCAGCACGTGCTGCTCCCACCATGTCGAGTGGCTGTCTTGGGGACATTCCCTCGGTCACAGTCTGCAGGGTCCTGGCCCTTGGGGGCCGAGGAGGCAGCAGCCCGCCAAGCGCACGGGACTCCGAGCGAACGCCTCCATCCACACCAGCGAGAGCACCGGCAGGTTTTCAGGGGTGACAGGCACCAACGTGAGACCACCCTGTCCGACCTCACCGCGTCGCTGGTAGTCACACAGCCTTTCCTTCTCCTCTCTGGCCTCATGGAACTCTCCAGGGGCTTGCGACAGTGAAAGAAACCTGTCCCAGGAGCCATTTGTAAGCCCACAAAGTCTCCTCCCGAAGGAGAGACTCTGGGTTTAAATGGAATAGAGCTCCACAACCAGAAAGACCGAGGATACGTTTCCGACGAGGTGTGTGAAACCACTTGTAATTCACGGAGCTGTACAGCTGGGAAGAAAAAGTTGTGTCATGTCTACTCCATCTGTGCACTCGCTGATGTAATAGGTAATTTAAATTTTACCCACGACAGGCACTTCTCCTCAAAAAAGCTGTAGCTGGTGGTGGCAGGCCACCGCTTTGACCTTCACGGAATGTTTTAAAGAATTCCTTGCCATCTTTTGTTTCCTTCTACTTTTCTTGGCTTCTCAAATCATAATTACTACATAGCTAGCGCAGGGACAGAATAATTTTTGGTAAGCGTGTTTATTTACTAAGGAATTACAGACATGCGGTGGTTTGTTACAGCTCTTACATTTAACTTACCAAAAATATTCCAAAAGATTGATCTAAGAGGCAGGGGGATAAAAAGCACTTCTCTTGGAAGTGGGTATGTTATCCTGAAGCAACTGAAACCAGTACGATCCACCCCGATGAACGGACTCCCATGGTGATCTCACACCTCTCCTTCACTCAGGGCAGTTCAACCCAAAAACCTGGGCTCTCCCTGAGGGAGTTGGCTGTTCAGACTGAAAGCAAAGTGACGTCTGAAGGATAAACCGCGGTAGCTGCAGGATAATTAATCACTGGCGAAATTATTCCCTTTAAATTGTCTGTGAGCCAGAGGTGCCAGTGAGCAGCACTTACTCTGCAACCGGGAGACCTGTCATTGAAAGCCGACTGGCCTGGAAACGCCTCGCCCCCAGCAGCTCTCCGGATACCAGTGAAAGCTGGCTTCTCCTTTTGTTCCGGGGGGAAAGGGAGGTCAGTCTCCGTGGACGGACCACACGCTGAATTCAAAAGATGATCAAGGTGTTTGCACATAAAGGACAGGTAAGAACAATGGGGTGTCTGCAAAAGGCAAGCATTTCTCAGCTTTTCCACAGGGGACCCAAACTCACCGCGCCTCTGTGAAGGCTGACACACTTGGAGTAAGAATCAATTATCATGTAACTAGTTCTGACTCCTTGTGTTTGAAATGGTTATCAGAGAGAGAGAGAGAGAGAGAGAGAGAGAGAGAGAGAGAGAGAGAGGGAGAGAGAGAGGGAGAGAGAGAGAAACAGTAGTAGAGTGGTGCCTTCCCATAGACAGATCCATTAAGATAAGGAGAAACTATCCAGACAAGGTCAAGATTAGTTTTTTTGCAGACTTAAATTCCCAAATTAATTGAACTCCCAGCATATTAACTGCAAGGTTAGCCCTCCTAAAATATGAAACATTCCTTCGTTTTAAACTAGTCATATTTCAAAAATGTGGACTGGACCAGCAGTGAAATAATGTTCGTAGGCAAGGTGCGGACGCGGATAAGGATTTACCCCCACAAAGGCAGCCACCCCCGTAGCCTCGGGCACCTTCATCTCCTACCATCTGGAACAGACCAGATGAACCTCCTCAAATACAAAAGTGTAAACTTTGGCAAGCGACTCCCAACTCCCATCTGTCTGAATTGTGTGTTTGGGCTAACTAGCTGTTTTTAGGAGGAAGATAATCTTCAAGGATTACACACCTTTCATCAGACACCTGTTTAGCTCAGCAAACCCCGCTGAAAGGTTCGTATCGGTAGACAGCACTGGATTTGCAAGCCTGGGAACTGACACCAAGCCAGGGATTTATGGCAGCTCTTGACCAGAGGAAATCCAATAGCTCTAACCATGTATCTCGTGATTGGGGATGGAAATTCACTGGCCTGCACTCATCTGTTACTAGTATCTGGCTCTGTGACCAAGTGGATGAATGGCATGTCATCAGCGTAAATAGTGATAAATGAACTCCACGGGCAATTTACGTCTCCTTGCTGAAGTTTTGTGGTGGTTTTGCAATTGGTTTAAAAAGGAAGCCGAACCTTAGCTTTTCCATTGTTTTTCTTCTTTAAAAAAAAAAAAAAAAAAAAAAAAGTTTTACTGATTTTAGGAGGGGAGGATGAGGGAGAGAGAGAAACATCAATGGGCTGCCTTCTGCACACCCCCTACCAGGCATCGGCCTGACCAGAAATTTCTTTAATATCTGGCTTAACAGAAAACATTTTCACATCTGCTTTGGTACTCAGTCTGTTGTGATATCACAGGTCATGAAATTTCCTGAAAACTCCACTGCACACTCATGAGAGGATGAGAATGGAAAGGACAAAGAGCAAGTGTCCCAGTATTACTTTGAAAATAGTTGTGACTTTGCAGACTCCCTGAAAGAGCCCTGGGGATGCCCACGGGCCCCTGGAATATACTCTGAGATTATCTGCATTAAATAAAACATGAGGATAATTTTTAAAAGTTGGATAACAAGGCCAAGGGTATTAAAAACAATATGGCATTTACTGAATCGAGTATGGCAGATCAGAGGCGCTATGTAAGTTGGTTAAGAGCAGGGTTCCAGGGCTGGTCTGCTTGGAAAGGAATCCAGGGTCCACCATGGGCCATATGTACGACCTCAGGCAAGTTCTTCAATCTCTCTGTGCTTTAGATCCCTCATCCATGA